CTTTCCCTCTATCTCTCCGGTCTGTTTTCAGACCTGCCTCCGTGTTCACAGGTAAATGAGTGCTTAGTGAGTATTAACTAAGATCACTGGTTGTTATCTGATCAGAGAGGGTCACATGGAACAAAGACCTCAGCCACCTGCACTGCCCTCTACAAATGAGCCTGAAAGCCCTGTGTGCGTGCGTGCATGTGTGTGCCTAATTGTGTGTGTGTACCTGCATTTGTGCATATGTAAGTATGTTTATCTATGCAGAACTGTTTGTGTGTGTGTGTGTGTGTGTGTGTCTCCGGGGCCAAAGGGGTCGACAGATGCTCCTTCTCAGTGAACTCAATTAATTACTTATAGGCCGTTAAGCCAAACACGGCTGCTTTGTTGGTTTACCCAACACTGATAGGGCCATCTGCCGAGGTGGCTCTACCTTCCCCACCGCTCCAGACGGTAACCAGTAACCAGACGCTTATCTGCGAGGGTGGGGGCCCGCTGACGATTAAAAACATCAGGACTTCTCCAATCGTCCGTGTGGATTTGTACACGTGTGTTGCCGTGTGTCCACGCTTGTAAAAAGACAATGAGAGGGGACAGTGTGTGGGCAGATTTAGGGTTACGTCTGGAGGAAGGAGCAAGGTTAAACGGCGGTGACTCAAAATATAAATTGACTCGCAATTGTGTGGATCCACTGTTTTTTATCCTTCTCAGATTATCCACTATCCAAAAAGGCAGAAACCTCCACCCACGCACACGCAGAGCGACTGGAGGATGAAATAAAGAGAAGCCACACCCGAGAGGTCGGTGTGATATGGTCTATTTTCGACGCGTACTTATAATAAAGGGGTATTGGTCAGGTTTTAGACACCTTTGATTGCAATGTTGTACCAGCAGGTACACACAATAAAAAAAGGCTGTTTGAAAATGCAAGAAAAAAAGAGGACAGGAGCACGAAAGCTTAACGGGGTTTCAGAGCTGGCAGATGCGGCCCGGGAAAGGGAGGTTCGGGGTCCCCTGCTGGCGCACCTTCCGACCCCAGATAAGCGGTTAAAGATGAGCGAGATGAGAGAGATAGCTCCAACTCAGGGACGTTTTTTTCAAGTCCAATGTTTTTCTTTTAGCTGGGTTTCTGTCTCCAGCAAAAATTCTTCTCTTTAATGCTCCTCGATGCTGCCCAGATATAGTTGCTAACCTCCTATGTGTGGTTTGAGAAATCTGTCTATACCAGTTGTTATTTAAATGAAATAGCTCATCCCCAGTTAGGAACAAGACACCTTTTCTGCACACCTGTCGTTTAAATCATTGACTATTTGTCTCTTAAAAGTGACATTATATTTGAAAATTGTCAATTCTATTTTTTTCTTGTTTTGGCTAAAATCCCAAAGTTACTATATTTCACTCAAAATGTAATTGAGAGAATAAAATAAAAAATATACAGTACCACTCAAAAGTTTGGACACCCTTTCTCATTGAATTGACTGAGAAAAAGTATGAATATTTCAACGGTGTTTTTTCTTGGCTAGCAGTAACATTTTCGGAGGAAGTCCACAGTCAGTTTGCATCTAAATATTCTACCTTCAGAGGGTGAATTAAGATCCTATTTGAGTGTGAATGTTGAGATGCACAATCTGTGTGGTTTACACGACCACACACTCAACTCAACATTCAAACTCAATTATGTGTGTGGTCATGTGTAGCTGTTGATGTGTATCACACGTACCTGATGTGTGGTGTGTGTGTGTGTATGTTTGTGTGTTTGTGTTAAACTGTGCCTTCATTTTCAAATTTCTGAATATATTTGTAGCAGTCTTTCAAAATGACAAGAGGATAATGTGAGTAATGCCCGTTTTTTGCCAGTTCAACTTTCCTAGATGTGTTTAATGTTGCAATATTACATTCAATGTGCCATTTGTTCCACATTGTAAAAGGATATTCATATTTCTAATGCGTTTCATATTTAATGGGGACTCCACGTGCAACTCAAGGGCCGAACCTTTTATTTTTAATCAAGATAAAATTGATAACGGTATATCAACCAGATAGTCATCTAAAAATGTGATGGCATAAAGGTGAAGTCGGCCAGAGGAAGGACAGCAGAAGAAGACGAGCTATTACTAACAGCTTTGCAGCGGGTTTGTATCTGAGAACACTGGATAAATATATAGTTCATGGTGCCTGAGCACTGCACTGTTTGTCAACATTGAATATAACAGCAGGTTGTGCAAAACATCGGAAAGAAATCCAATCACACTAAACTGAAACATTATCCCGATTTCCCCATGGGAGATCATTGAGCTATTATTTCATTGAACAAATGTCACATCATTCCTGAGTGTGTTTTGGGATTGTACTGGAAGCAACAATCACATTTTTTGGTTTGTGTCAATGTTTGAGGGAATGCTTTTACATTCATTTCTACAGTTGGCATTTGAAAGTTTTCTTAAAATACATCCATGATGAGTGAGAGTTAGTCTTTTATTGTCTGATCTGAATATGAGTCTTGTAGCGTAATTGGTTGTGCAGGTTTTAATTTCCATTATGATTGAAATTCTTTCTTTTACAAAGACAAAACTGTTTAAAATGTGTTGGAAATACACTCAATACATTTCCCAGACTGGAAGCCGGCAGAAACAAGTAGCTGATTCATATCCAAATGTAAGAAATAGTCCCTACCAGCACGTTAAATTAATTTTGTGAATGCTACGGCATGTTAGCATGCCGCTAATGGTGGCCACTCTGCACTGTGCTCAAACAGAGGTCACATGATCCCAGCTCCCCCCGGTTCCCCCCCAGGTACACACTGCTGGCTCGGTCAGCAATTCTGTTGTTGTTTGCACTGTTAGTACGGTCAGCACCGTTAGCCTCCAGCCGCCGAGACCATCTCACACCGTTTAGTGAGAGCTTAGCCATTAAAAGGCAATATCCTAATGTTCCTCATAATGAGCACATTTGACCCAGGGAGGACCATCTCCTTTAGCAGCCTCACCGGTACAAAGAGTAAATAGTAAGGACAAACTATGTCTGTGCTGTGAATTAGTGTGCTCCTAGAGGTGTTTCTTTAGGCTAAGCTATAAAGAAACAGAGGGGTACAGTCTTCCTCAACACCCCCACTGTTCACTATCGTCACAGCCTTTGTCAAACTCCCACAGTTTTGCGTGAAAGGCCTTGGATTTGGCCTAGATGTATGTGAAAAAGAACACAAACAAACACAGGTTACATTCAAGATCCCAAAAGACTTAAGTTAAACGTCTATGTGCGTGTGTGTGTGTGTGTGTGTGTGCAGACCTGTTTCAAAAGCTGCACAAAACCCACAGAAAGCAACAAAAAAGCAAGCACACAATTGCATTTTCCCACAATGGTTTAGAGTCTGGGGAATTATAAAGCACAATGATGCACGCAGCACACAATGGCCTTGCAAAGTGCTCGTTTGTGTCAGAAAATACAGCTCTTTTCTCGCGTTTGTGCCGCCTCTCCGTCAGGGAGACACACAGTGACAGATTATGTGTAGCTGTCATCCTCTGGGTGAGTAGAGTTCAGATGAAATGTAACCTCATTTTAAAATTTCTTTATTGGCTCTTAATACTGTTGTAGTGCTGCCGGCATGCTTTCAGCTGCAGAGCAAAAGGAGCAGAGTCACGAGTGAAGGTTGTAAGTATGCCACATGCATGTAATGTATGAAGCTTCCTATGTTAACATGCATGTGGAAAATATGTACAGCATTCGATTTGCTGAGCGCTTCTCTGCTCAATCGTTGCAATAAAGAAAAAAAGAGGGGTTAATAAGTGCTGTGTGCCAGGAAAAAGAAAAATCCAATTTACTGCCCAGATGTCATTGAACAAATCCAACATTCAATAACAATACTCAGTAAGTATAGAAGAAATGCATTGTTATCTCACACGCGGGCTGATTGGTGCATTAAAAAAATCGTAGTTGACCCACAAGGCTGTAACACTCACACTATGATGCTCCCTTGGATGATAATGTGGGTAAAGCTGGATGGAACTATTTGTTTCCTTACCTTGGGTTTTTGATTATGAAATGGGAAGAGTGGGCTGCTGTGTATTTACACAAATACAATGCAGATGCCTTTGATATCAAGTGTTTATTTAATTATCATTTACAACTGGTCTGTCCTATTTTCCATGTTTTTATAATGTGATCGCAATGACAAATTTGTAATTAGAACACATTTTTTAACCAAACCTTTGCCTTGTGGTTTCCACTAAACTACTAAACCAGGACTGACTAAAGAATACGATTGGAAAGATGTATTTAAACGTTTGCACATTACATCCTTTATCTATTTGAAGATTGGTGGATTTTTCCCTATAGTTGTAACATTCCTAAGGATAAAACATCCTGGATAAAAATTCCCTGGTATTCCCAATTTAAAGCTAATGCGACAAATGTTCCTTTTGTGTTGATCTTGGTGACCCCCGTGGACAAAAGCGGTAGTGTTTTATAGCACCACATTGCATTTAGAAAAACCTCATTTTACTGCGACGGTCTTCCCCTGGTTCTGGTTCTGACTCGCCTCCATTCCCTCCAGCGAGAACAGCAACATGACCCGGGTCACCAGCGGCGTTTTTGATATATTTGATATTAATATTTTCCTCTGAAATGCAGCAGAAGTATATTTAGAGCTGCTGCCTGTTGCACGATTCACTTCTCTAGCACCACATGACGCACTTGCCTCTCTTTTTCTGCACGTCTTCCTGCTGATACTAATTATGGCAAAGGTGAAACGATCTTGGGTTCATTTCATCAGGACATCATGGAGCAGCAAAACATCGCTATGTTGCACTGACACGCATGCTTTTTATTGTTAAATCTCTTAAGTTAGAAATCGTCAGAGAGACTTCAGTGTTCCTTCCACGTCAAGCAAATAACGCAAATGGGATTTCTCCTATAGTTCAAAACGAATGGGTATGTGTGTGTGTGGCGGAAGAGGGGGGGGGGGGGGGGGGGGTGACGTCAGGTCCCCTCGGGCTGACAGACCTTCTATTGGACCAGTGGAGGCTTTTTAAAGGAGCAGGCAGCAGCGCAACCGGAGGCTTTCTGATTCAGACTCACCGCACTTCCTCCATCTCTCCATCCGGCGCGGCAGCGGAGACGCACCGGGAGCGGCCAGGTGAGCGGGAGGACTCTCAGCAGCGCTCGTGTTGGCAAAGAAAAGCAACGAGGAAGAGAGTAGGATTGTAGGGGGGTTGTAGGGTGAAACAGTTTGAAATGAGATGATAGAATTTGGGGTGAAATACAATTTCCCCGGGCGCTCATCTTCCCCTGCCTCATGCACTTATTCTCTTTCATCGCGCTCTAGATGTGAAGATGAGGCATTGGGCGTCGACTGACCTGCATATCAACAGGTGAGTGAACACACCGATCGCAGACTTCCAATACTCGGGAGTCCAAACTAATGAGTGCAAGAGTGGGCTTTTCTCACGTATATTAAACAAAACAAAAACAGTAAAGTAACGTGAAGTGGACGGTGCCTCCAAGTCACATAAATAGCAGCGTAATTAGATTCACGGGGTGAAGAAAGCGGGGGTTCATCTTGGCTTCCCTGCTGCGCCCCCCCTCCGATGGATTATCTGCATCTCCTCTTCTCACAGCTTGTTTGGGAACCATGTGGTCAAATGACAACAGCTGTTGACTCAATCAATAGCTTGTCTCCTGTAATTTGGACAGATGAATGAGAGAGAGAGAGAGAGAGAGAGAGAGAGAGAGAGAGAGAGAGAGAGAGAGTTGTCTTTTAAAACATGGGGGGCTTTAAAGGGCACAGAGTGACGTGCGGTAAAAAAAAAAAAAAATAAATGTATGACTTTGTTCTTAACAAAGCCTTGTCCTTGAATTTTTTTCTTTATAATGCTGCGTTGAAATTACAGCGTGAAGAAAGAGAGAAGAAAAGAAAAGTATTGCAGAGTAGAATATCAGCACCCCGAGCGGCGGACAGCTCCACACATCTGGCCAGATGCCCCCCAGCAAGCATAGAGAGGGAAGCAATTTCTCACCAGCTGACACACACACACATACACACATACACACACACACACACCGGCTAACTGTATCTTCTCCAACAGACGTGTTATTTCAGTACGTTATAACGAATCAATGGAAACCTGGTGATGACAGCTTGAAAAGTGTGAAGGCCAAAATCACATTGTTTATTTTATTTCATTTTTTCCCCCCAAATGATTCTGGGTGAATCACATCGGGATGAATCCGTGACAGGCAGCGTCCCTCTGGCAGGGTCCCCCACACACACACATGTACACACGCGCGCACGCACCAAATGGTGTGACAGAGCACATACAATGTGAAGCTATGAGAGAAATGTAGTGCTAACAGGTGTTCAAACAAGCTGATCGGTACATTCTTCCAATTATTGCAATTAGATGCTGCCCGGTTACCACTCCATAATGTACAACTGCTGAGGAGGAGTGTGTGTGTGTGTGTGTGAGAGTGTGATCACGGAAATAGAAGGATAAACAGCAGGAGAGAGAAATGTGCATTGGTGATGATGTCGTATTGTTGTGAGGATGAAAAGAAGAAGAGGGGGGGGTGGGGGGGGCGCGGTGTGCATGCAATACTTTCCAGTTAACGCGCTCTGAATTCATAAGTAATCTCCTCTTTGCCCCGAGTCATTATCAGTCTTAGCAGATTGACTAGAAGCTACGTGATAGTTTATTAAATATCTTTGTCTCCGGTGCAAGCAGCGGTGTTTGATTTGAAATCATTAAAAGAAGCTTTTCAAAAAAGACTCCCCGGAGTGATCGGTGCGTTTTAGATGAAGGGTTTGCTTAAGTCTGTGTGGGCGCGCGTGTGTGCGTGTGCACAGCATGCAGGCTAGAATGGAGGGAAGCTGTGTGGACAGGAAGAATAAAACAATTATATTCGTTATGGATCAATGCTGCTGATTATCCTGGTGACAGCCCCCACACCCTCCGAGAACGTCTTTGTTTTTTTTCATTTTTGTCCGAATACACAGAGATATTTAGTTGTGGCTGTTGTGAGAAAAGCACACCCAGTGAGCATTTTTTGGTTGAAAGACGTTGCAAAATGGTTTAAAAGTGAAAGTTGAAAAGACGTCTATATTTAGACCACATTTCAACGGGATTTTTTATACGGCAATATTTCTTATTCTCTTGTGTGCTATATCATTATTTTGGAAGTTTAAAAAGAAACTACGTCCTCATTTGTAAGTTTACCACCGATATTATAAATCACGTTGAAAACGGGTCTATACGTGAACGTCTTTTCAACGTCTATTCATAGACGTTGAAACAACCTTCACTCTTGAACCAATTTGCAACGTCGGGCCAAACGTTGTTTCAACGGATAAATTGCTCGCTGGAAACTTAGAAGTTACATACTTAGTCACAGTTGTCATGTTAACATCCCTTAACAAGGACAAACACATTATTTTATTAATTTGCATTTATTATAATTATACCACTGTACATATAACAACACTTTTCCTAATTAAAAACAATACAAGAATAAAATATATATTTCAGGGAAATAAACTATGGAATTAGTGCAGAAAAAACATGGACAGGTTAGTTTAGAATTCTGTGTTTCTAGCCCATTTTTCTGGATCATTGGAACTTAATTTTCAGATTCTGTAACAAGATGTGGCTGTGAGTCACTTGAGTTGGGATAGTATACCTGAAATCAGCTGCGTCTCCCTCATCCTCACTTGAGGATTCTTTGTGTAAAGGGAGTCAGAGTGCACAGAACAGCCCTCAATTGCAGATTCCTCTGGTCAACATGTTTATTCAATTCAAATCATTTTATTTTGTTCAGCTTTGCAATCTGTAAACATGCAACATCCTGTCCCAAAACCCCAAAAATGTAAAAAACCTTCAACCGGGAGAAACCTGAGGGGAAAACAGCAGAGAAGTAGGTGTGTAGAGTATGAATGACTTAAAGATGTACAGTACATCCAATTCCTACAACAGAAATGATTCAAATATCGTGGATTATTAAACCGGCAGGACCAGTGCAGGGACAACCATCATCAGACGTAACCTCCATCAGATGCAACCACCACCCACAGAAATCTGTGAGGAGGGAAGCACAAAGGCAAAGTTGGTCATTTGGGTTTATGATGACAGTAATAAACTAATAATAATAACAGCAGCAGGTGTGTTAGGACCCTAAATTATAGATTGTTTACTTATTACATTATAAACAAGATAACAATTCATCTGCAACTTATGGTATTTCTGGAGTAACATTTCCAGGTATATTACACAGTATCATGCTTTAAGCACGCAGTAACTTACAATGTGTTGTCCCTCTTGTTTACAGAGCACAACTTGTTGAATTCAGCCCTTCCCTTCCCTTGCAATCTGTATTTAGCCCCCATTGCTTTAAAAACGTATTTCAATGTGTAATGCAATAATATTTATGGGTACGCATTAGTAACACCAAACACACGAAAAATATTCTCGGATATTTACTTTTGGTCCAGGTCATCATGCTGCAAGAATAGCATGCTAACTAGCAAACTACCTGCGCTAACGCTAACTCGCTTAACAAAAAGGACCGTCTTTCCCGTATAGGGTGGGCAGCACAAGTAAAACACCCGGTTATAGTTCCAGGTGTTCTTCATTCAAACACTCCCGTACTTACAGAGCATTGGAGCCGGTAGTCGTGGCTCTATCAGCCCGTTCATGTCGCTCTGCTGCCGTAACTTCGCCTCGTGCTGCGTCCGCTCGGAGCTCTGCAGGCGTCTAAGAACTCGCGCATGCGCGTTACAGTAATGTTTGAACCCGCCAGCATTATTATGCCTTAAACTCATCTTATTAACAGCACGCAGTCCGTAGTTTCATATTCATGACGTTTTAAGTGAAATATTAAATACGTTGAAATTACGTTTTCGGGTAGACCAAATTTCGCCGACCAGTTCATTAATTATTATGAAAATCTTAACGTTAATATCGTCTATCGTTCAACCTTACGTTACAACATGACTCATTTATCAAAAAATTGACGTTTTCTGGCACGTTGATGTTTCATCCCATTTTTAGACGGTTGAAAAGACGTTGCAATGAGGTCTTAGACGTTCAGACCTCATTTCAACCTGATTTCAACCATATTTCAACGTTGAAATTACGTATTGTGCTCACTGGGTACTGACAGGACAATTCGTAACCAGCAGTCAAAATGTTGTTCTTGCTGCTCTGTCGCCTCCACCTGTGGAGGAACATATCCACTCCCCCTTTGAAGGAACATAAAACGAGAGTTTCAAGATTCAGATTTTTATTTTTATCTTTAAGATATTTGAAGACGCGTTTTTCCTCTTTCTACGGTAATATCTGCAGTTCAGGGCGACAAACGTGACGCGCGCGCTCATCCGGACGAGCGCGCGCCCCGATCTGATTTGATTGAGCTGTCCCACTTTACGCAGAGCGGGAGCAGAGGGAAATCACGTCGGGCCGCGGCCTCTTATCGCGGGCCGAGAACAAGACGGGAAGATAACAGCGTGCCATAAAGAGGGACGTCTGAGCAACAACATCAGCGCGCGTGCGTGCGTGCCTGTGCTGCAGGTGAGCTCGCGCGCGCGCGCGTCGCGTCAGGCAGGGGATGTTTGTGGCAGCTGTCGGCCCTGTTTGAACAGCAATCACAATCAGCGGCGGAGGCAGCAGCAGCCAAGCGTGTGGCGGTGACAGCGCCGGTGGCGGGAGACCCTCGCTGCCTCCCCCCCACTATCCGGCCTGCCCTCACTTCCGGTCGGCCTCCTCCCACTTTGTCGCTTCTTCCTCTTCTCGTCCAGTCAGCGGGGGATCGATTCCTCGATCAAAGGTGTGTTTCACTCCCATTTTAGTCAGAACGTCCTCGTCGGTCCGCGACAAGAAATAGTCCGTGATGCTCTCGTGGGGGGGAAAAAGAGGAAGATTCCATTTAATTTCAAACATAAAGTTAATTAATAAACCAGGGTGCGCAACACAACGAGCATAGTGGAGTAAAGAAAAAAGGTTTACAGAAATAATTAAAAGGCTCAGATAAGGGCATTTTAGATAGGGGTGTTTATTTTAATCTATTGTTGCATTTTTAAAATGACTTTCAACAATCATGTGACCAAATACAAATAAAATATGTGTATAAATTAATTAAATGACAATGCAGGGAAAACAGATAATATTAAGAAAAGGTAATGTGTGTTCCAAGGAAAAATAAGGGAAGTTTAAGCCCAGAAACTGAATCATTGAGCCTATGTGTGTATAACGTAACATTTTATCTATGTAGTTTTGTGTGAAGATCTCCTTTGCTCCCATTACTAATCTTTCCATCTCACACCACCCGGCCTTTCTACACCTGCTGCTCACTTCCCCCTTCACTCTTTCTCTATCTTACCCCC